CAGAGAAAGAGAGAGATAAGGTGTACACACCGTGTGTGTATACGGAGGAGGTGGAGAGAGAGGAGAGGGGGGCACGAGACACGGAGCCAAGAGCGGGATGCTGGGAGGCGGCGGCGACGGCGGCCATGTTGCCGTATCCCGAGAGAAGAGAGAACGATCCGAGAGAGCACCGTGAGGCTGGGTTCGTTTGTTGCTTGCAGCGGCTGCCCAAACTTTGGGCGGTTTAATTCTACCTGTTGGGCCGCACAGTTCGGGGTAGTGTGCCATCGTTTCACCCTCGTTTGCCGAGGTCCCACGTTCCAGGATTCCGGGGTGACTGCGATATCTCGTCGAGTGGTGGTTTACGCACGTCGTCTCGGTCGCGCGGTGTACAATACGCTCGCGTACGATCCCGGCGACGATGTCGTCGTGGTCGTTGTCATCGTTGTCGTTGTCGTTGTTGTGGCCGTCGTTGTCGTCGACGCGGTCCTGGCGAGCGTGCGCGTGTGCCTGAAGCCGGTGTACAAGTGTGTTGGGCAATCCGTGGGACAGACGATCCGGTTTGGGAAAAACCTCCTCGGTGACTCGTCTCCCCGTAGAGGGGTGGTGTGCTTGTGCGCGAAAGGAACGAGAGAATAGGTGACTGGGTTCGACGGATGGCGAGAGGGCAACGCGTGTATTCTGGAACTAGGCCCGCGAAAATCCAGAGGATGAGAATTAGGTGCGCGTAGTGAGAAATATTTCTGTGTGTTCGCCGGTGCTTGCCTGTCGTTTCGCCGATACGTGTATATATACCTGGCCACCGGGCGATATTTCTTTTTTTTTTTTTTTGTTTTCTTGTGACGGTGTCGTCAGGGACGCATTGACGTAGAACCCAAGAGCTTGAGAAAGACGGACAAGAAAGGGCCCCCGAATCGGGCGCGCCCTAAACCAAGAAGAGGAGCTTCTGGTGACGACGAGTACCGGAAAAATTCACGCGGCCGCCCGGACGTGGTTCCGGGGTCCAGTGGCGAAGGTGGTGACACTATCATCCGTTGAGATGTGATCCGGAACACAGGAGGGACGCTTAGTAGTTTGTAGTTGGCCCCCTCCCACAACCCCCACCCCATCAGCCACCCTTTTCGAACCTAACCACCTTACACACCACATTCTTTCATAACCCTATACATAGTACACATATACGCACTATTCGTCCACTTCACATACACATATCGATTATTATTATCCGCCGATCTCAAGGAGTACTCGCGGATACGATCAACGATCTCTTCTCCACAGCCAATATCACCTGGATGCCCGACGAACATCCCGGAGATAGTGAGTATTTTCGTAAATGGTACACCTAATGCCTCTCTATGGGCTGGCTTCTTTCGGAGCGGACACCTCCTCGCCGCGGATGTTCACCGGCTACCTGCGCGATGACGCACAGGTGACGCGCAGGTGACCCGCCGGTAAACAAGTCGATGCCAAGACGACCCACGGGACCATCTATATAGGTTTACGTGGTGTAGACCCTTTTGTCCTCCCCCCTCCACCCCGCTCTAGGTTCACGTGTCCCTATTCGAATGGTGTTGAACCTGTCCCCAAAGTTGGGATTAACTTTTCTTTTCAGGATTCGATCGTATACGAAATAGATATCGCGCGATCGAGGTATTTCGATCTCTTCTCATAACGTAAAATGAAATATAATCTGTTAGAATACGTTCGGTGAGTGATGAATAGAAACAACCGTGATCAGGAACACGGCAATTTGAAGATTACGAGGTTCGGATTCGAGTGGCGGGAAAACACCGTTTCGCGATACCAGAATCGAATTATACAGGTTGGAATAAATTACCAGTTACTCCGCTTTTTTTTTTTTTTTTTTCGTTTTTCATATCGGTGATTGCGTGTATTCGCGAAACCGCGCGACGATTAGCATACACGCCGCGGTTTAGAGTGAATGGAAGCCTCTACGTGCGAATATAATTGGGCTCTCCCCGGTTTTATGGTATCCAGATAATAAACGCAACCGTCGCCCCGAATGCAATCGAGTTCGTGTTTATATAACGCGGCGGCGTCGTGGAACTACAGGTATTTACTGAACATTCTCGAATGGTCCACGTCGTCGATACACACTAGCGTTCTCTCTCTCTCTCTCTCTCTCTCTCTCTATTCTCCTCTCTCTTTCCAAGTGGCCGCCGTAGAGACACGTGCTAATCGGTTAGACCACGTTAGGCCTGTTCGGACGGAAACCATGGGGATCGATCTCCAAGAACCGAAACTCGCCACACTGATTCTCACTCCCGGATCACTGAACCGGAGGACACTACCTCTATAAAACCTTCAGGTAGTAAAAGAGAGGAACATCACGTTGACTCTCCACTCCAGACTCAGGACCCAAGAACCTCTGCATAGCTCCCAGGACGTTTATCTTATGCTCGATCCTTCTCGGACAGATTTCCCCGAACAGACCATGAAGATATAAACTCTTGTCACTGATATCTTGGTGTTATTCACTTTCAAAGTCACTAAAACGATCACAGATCTGACCGACGACCGATAATCTCGATCAGGTCTCACACTCCACGCGGAATACGCACGTGGATCCCTCGAATCGGGGACACCACCGGTTCGTTCGTTCGAGCGATCCACATCATCTGGATGATGCACCGGAGGAGACCTAGCTCGTTCCTCTTCGTTCGTCGTAGTCGCTCCGGAGGCATCGTCCACTGACGCGAGGCGAGGGAGTACAGGTACTTGAAATACAAACGGACCCACCGGAGGTGGGTCCAATCTGATGCAGGGTTCCCTTTGAGAATCAGGTTAGACCGGCCGAACCTGCTCCTCTGGCTTCTCGTCTCCGGTCCGCGGTTGTATACCGGCCTGGTGTACCTACTCCTTCCATCCCCGGTCGCCCCAATCTCCTTCTTCCGCGTAGTAGGTAGGCACCTCTACCTACCTACCTACTTCCCGCCACCCTGTTTGGCTTCTTTCTCCCTCTCTCCATCAAGTCTGCGCTGGTCCACTGGTTCATCTTGTTCTTCCTCGCGAACTTACTTACCTCCCCCATGGTCACCATCGGAATCTGGCCAGGAAAACACCAATGATCCTTGGCTAGTGGCCTCCAATGACGACGAACGTCTGTCGTGAACCATCGTATGGTACCTAACACTTACTAGGTGTCTACTATCGACCGTGAATATACGTTCTCGTTCTCGATGGTCCGGCTTCCTCGTTACGTCTATTATTACACCTGTCTATCCGTCAGCCAGTCGGCCGGCCGCGAGCTGAATTCCAGTTTTACGCGGCCTGCCCTCCTTCGAACCGGCCAGCCGGCCAGACGGCCTGGGTGTAGTAGGAGGAGATGAACGAGCCGTGGAAGGAAGAGGGAACCAACTGGTTTTACTAACTATCCACCGCGGGTACGACGCCCGGCCTCAGCCTCTCTAGAGATTTAGAATTCGTGGTGTCCGACTGGTTTGGCCAAACGGATTCCCCGGCAGCCGTCGCCCGCCGGCCACGTGATAACTGAATCAACCAAGTCGAACCTGCTTGGTGCTGTTGCTGGTGCTGCTGACCAGGCCTCTCTCCACTTGGCAGCGGTTTACGGATCCGCGGTGTGCGTTTACCGTTTTGCCCCACGCACACCCCTCTGCCCTGTGCCCCTGCCCCCCTGATCCTGACGATGGCCTTCCTGATTCCGAGCGATCTCGTTCTTCCGGCCCCGCAGCCGGTACGTCAACCTGACTTGCCCTGGCAAAAATGCGGTCTCGACTTCCTGTTTGGGCCCGACTTCTTCTTCTTCTTCTTCTTCTTCTTCGACGGGCAGCCGGTTCAACGGCTTCCTTTGCCTCCCTTGCAAGCCACAGAAGCCCAGCCACCCGGGCATCTCCATGGTGTTTAGGGAAGGAATGAAATGAGAGGAAAGGGGGCTACCGAATGGGGAACGTGTTTCAGTTTCAAGCGTTTCACTCTCGCCTTCAGCCTGTCTGTCTGTCCGTCTTACTGTCTGTCTGTCGCCTCGACGCCGGTTTATTACACCTGTCTATCAGAGCCGCGACCGCGAAACCGTTTCCAGTTTGACGTGCCTCGCCAGGCCAGTTGAAATGAATGGAAAGGCGTAACATACACATATACCAGCTTGGTGTCCTGAGTTTCCGTGTGTGATTGCACGTTGCGCAATCGAAACGATACCAGAAGCCTCCGAGATTAGCCGCCCTTCTATTTATCTTTCTATAGGGGAAGGTTGTTGAATTTAGACCATCACTTAGGTTGAACTACTACTGAAACTTGTCGTGTGAGAGCAATTTTCTCTGTGTGATAGGAAATATGTGGTGTATGTCATACGGCGCTAATTGATTATACACAAGCTTTAGTACAGCAAGTCCTCGATGAGTTTTCGAAGGCTCCTCGACACTGAATATTAAATATTTCATAAACTAATAGCCTTATGCGATTGAATAAAATATCATTGGCTTCAGAATCCCAAGCTCTACCACTATGCTAAACCTCGTTAAAAAGTCAACGTTACATCTGAACCTCTCCATTGGCAGTGCCGAAAAGTCTTCGAACACTCACCGAAGATGCACTGTACTAGTCCAACCGAGGCGATGGCCAAAATTCAGTAACCGTCCCCTATATACATAGATGAAGTTCCCATCGAAAATCGATGATGTTTCCATATGTATACGTTTTTTTGTTGGTCCTTTCTGTTTACTTCGCAGGTTCTTCATCATCGACCATTTGCTCCTCTTCCTCCGTTAATCGACGTGCCATACAGCAGCCTGTGATACGCTATCCCCCGACTAGAATCGTTTCGATCGTGTAGACAGGGGTAGTAGTAGTCAGTTAGACGATCGCGTAGAGAAACGTGAATTCCAATAGGGAACCATCGTGCCGAGGAGACGACGTCGCGCGGCGATCGAAAACGCACCGCCACGACGACGACATCAGCGACATTGTGCTTTGAGACAAGCAGAGGCCCCGAGCAGGACGCCACGATACGGCGAGGAAAGAGAAGCGGAAGACAGCGCGGGAGAATGTCGACTTGCACCGACGAGGCCGACAACGCACCCCTGCACATGCAGGAGGCTCTGTCACCGGTTAGTCGAAACTCCTTCTTTTATTTCATGTCGCTCTGGGAATACCTAGACTGAGGATGTTTATGCATTTATAGCCATACCTTAACTTAGAAAATGCAATAAAACCTTCCTTTCATCTTCGTATTAATGAAGTTTACACTATTTATATGTGTAATAGTAATATTTTCATATTAACGAAGTTTAATACTATTTATGTGTTATTCCTAGACTGCGGATGTTTATGCATTTATAGCGTACCAAATTTAATATTATATTATTATTAATATACTGCAATCCGTAGTATAGAAAAGAAACTTCTATGGAAAATTGTTTTTTCTGTATTAATGTCGAAAATTGTAAATTTTGCATAAACGTCCGCAGTCTAGTTATTACGAACGTAGTGAAGTCTCTGAAGAATTCCTGGTTGGAGAAATCCAGGTTTAACTGAAAAATGAAATATTTCTAATCGTATCTTTCTATAGCACGTTAAAAAGAAACTTTAGAACCGTTTCGCCATTAATTTATGTTTACTTCTCCGAAAACGAAAAAATCATCTACTCTATGCTAAACTGTTTTTGACTGCTCGGTTGCAATATTCAAAATCAGTTGAGAAAGGAATTACTCACACCCCATGACGCACAGTTTTCGCGACGAATTAGCGATTCCATCGAGTCAAACAAAAGACGTGACGCATATACACGGCGAGTGGTCTCCGGTCGGAATTCGACAAAACGGGAACATGCATAACCATTATACAGAAAAAAGAGTAAATTAAATTATTAAAATTAGCAAATGATTCAATATTGATTTTTTTCAATTCCTTGTTTCATATTCAAACAATTGGTTAGAAATGTTCATTCACTGGTGAAATTTGTGCTTTTTTTGTTTTAATTTAATTAATTACATTTTTCTATTTTTCAAATTGGAATCTGTACGTTATTGTGATCCCATCGGAATTACAAGTCTTTTGTTCCCCTCCCGATTTATAATTCACATGTCCCCGTTTACCACTAATGCTAAATAATACAATATTTTACCTACTCTATGCTACACATACGTTATAAAAACGCATACAAATTAAAAATCTAATATTCATGTTCCAAATATTTATCAATATTATTATCATTTAAAATTCACCTTTACTAGTTACAAAATCTCTCAAGTGTTCATTCATTGGTGCGTTCACTCTCTATATGGCCCAAACTACCCAGCAAACGAACCAAACATATAAACACGAGTGGCGAGAGAAGAAAAAAGTTCAAGTAACTGGGCCCTAAGATCTTTGTTCCTCGAGTCGGATTTTCGCCCCGCGAGGGCCGAAAGATTGACAGCCGATCCTCAATCTTTTCCGTTCCGTGCAGACTCGTCCATCACTCGCGGGGGGGGGGGGAAACCTTGGCGTCTCAGGGTCGTCCCAGAAGTTCCCGACGCGCTGTGGACGAACATAACAGAGAACCAGCAATAATCTTACGGGTCCACCATTCTCGTTATTTCGCGCAACGGGCGGTACCGGGCCCGTGTGTGTCGGGGGGAGGGGATGGGGTTATGAGGTAGTGGGGAGAGGAGAACGAGAAAGAAAGAGAAAGGGAGGAAGGTCAACCGATGACCCGCACGAAACGCCGACCGTGAGGTATGATTGCATTCCGTGAATTGTCGAAATCGAAGGGGGCGTGGATGCAAAGACCTCCGCGTCGTTAATCACGATCTCCACCGATGCTTCCCCTTTTTCCCCCTCCTCGCCCGTCTCCGCCATCGACGAGGAAAAAAAAAAGGATTCTCGAAAGCACCCGACCAACGGTGTTTATATTCATCCGAATCTTCTACTGTGAGCAGCACAGTAACATCGGCGGGATTTCTGCTGGGAATTTACTGGCTTCCAGGGGGGCATATGGAATTCTGGAAATTAAGGCTTCCGTTTCGTGTCTCGGTTAATTGGACGCTTCTTGGACAACGTGATTGGAGCTCGGCCGTACTCTATTTTGATGGTACGGGCTACCTGTCTTGATGGATGTTGTTCGGTTGACGCTTCAGGCTCCTCTCGATTATCGTCTGGATTCTTCTACACGATTATTGTCCACGCATTATCCCCACCACTGAGGGGCGTGGAACGTGTCCTGCGCATTACTTCGTTGCCCCTCCGCTTCTGTTGCCGAATATCGGACTTCGGGCGAAAAAAGAATTTACGAGGGTCTGAAGCATTTCTCCCTATATGATTATTGTCCTGGAGCGGACCCGAGTTCGGAACGATAATCGAAGGGAGTCTGTATATAAAATGAAATCGGTGATGTATGTAGGATCCTCGAAATTTCTTTGACATTTTGGGGGTTTAATTAACTTTGTCGTACTATTAAAAATTATTTTCGAATTCCAGTTCTTTTCTATCATGACACTGTCCCAAATATAAAAAAAAGATTCAACAAGTTAACGACTATTTTACGCTAGATGTACCTACCATAGAATCTCGTAAGTTTATAGTAGCTCCGTCGACAATTACGATTCACCAAGGAATTATTCTTACAAGCTCCATTGCGAGTGGAACGGTTTCCACTCCAAAGAATTATTCAAATGCTTAAAAAATGGAAATGTGATCCGTGAGATAGGCAAACGACGTAATATCATAGGCTCGATCTCTCGGAATCGTCTGAACCGTGCGAGCAATGAGTTTCTCGAAATATACAGGGCGCGAATGAATATATCCGCGATATTATTTAAAATTCATGGATCGTCTGACGACTCTATAGACCATTATTGGGTTCTAAAAAGGAATTCCGATGGTCTATTGGCCCCTGGTATGCGTGTCCTTTCCCCCCTCGAGAACCGCCGCCCGCTCCTCGACTTCGTGAAGCCCCGAGAAGATTTTAACTGTCACCTGGGGGCCGCAGGTTTTTAACCTCACAATGGTATACCTGTCGCTTAAAAGTGAAACTCCGGCCGGGACCGAAAGCCCGTTATTTGCGTGGCGTTGCTCCACAATGGAGAAGTCCTTCTACTCCGCTGTATATGTATATATGGCGGATCCCCTAAGAATCTTACGGGGCCCCACGGCCATTACGGGCCCAAATCCCTATGGAATTATTACCACTCGATTTCGCCGGTTGCCACCGCATCGGCGTTCCCAACGATGATATAATTTATGGTAATGCAATGGCTTTTACGTCGTTCCCGTTCACGGATTGACGTGGCCGTCAATTCGTCTTTATTATTTCCATGGATCGGGCGTTAATTCACGTCCACGGAATGTTGTAAATGATTGTGCGGTAGTTACGTGATTTGCGAAATATAACTTCAACAGACTTAGTTGTTTTAATGTAGTAGCTGGATCATTGATTTGTTGCAGGGTTGTTTGGAATTTGTACGTCCTTCTAGATTAGAAGTATTATTAGATCTAGATTAGAAGTATTATTAGACTAGATTAGAATGTAATATGTATTTGAAAGAAAAGTAAACCTGACTTTTCTAGATGTATTTTAGAATTTACATATTTATAAATATCAGAATAAAGAAGGAAAAAAATCTTCTTTAAACGACAATTCAGGCGTTATAGGGTTAAATAAATTTTGGTGATTAAATAAAGTATTGTTACGTTGTTGAAAGGGAAACGTAACAAATACGATGAAATACATATTTAAATTCTTCCTATAATTATGTCTGTCTTTTCTCAGCAGATAATACTTTTAAATTTCTACGCGTCTGTTTAATCAACGCTTGACAGTTTCCGTGATTTCAGGCTATAAACAATTGTTTGAAAAATAGTCTTTCCGGAATTGAACACGCAGAAACGTTTAAAACATTAACTTTACTATGTATCAACTCTATGAATAAGAAATTCAAGAATTTTACAATGTTTCAGACAACCCACACAGTGTTCCGTTTCTTCTTACCATAACGATCGCACACTTTAATCCGTACGATAAAAGTTCTGAATCTTTAAAAGCTTCGGCGAGAAAAGTAAAAATTCTCCGGGATGTCTAGAAATATGTAAATTCTCGGAATCTTTTATTCATGGCCTATTGGTACACAGAGAGCAGTCTGTCTAATAAACGTCAATTTAACGAGACTCGATCGCCAATACATATACCAGCTGATCGACAACCTTGACACTCCAAAATTATCTTCCAGGGAACCGACAAAATTTTCTCAAGAATGATATCATTATCTCACTAACTCTTTACATAAAACAATGACGGTTCGATCAAACGGAGAGAAACAAAACCGTGTTGCATCTAAGTCGACAGTTTTTCTCTATAAAACAAACATTTGCTTGTTTATATTTCTACCGTATTATTTTCATTAGTATCACTTATTGACCTATTTTTTCCGCGTTTGGATAGTCAGTTTCATGAGTATATATCCGTAGTTAACTCTCCATAACCCACATTTAGTTCGTGACATGGGTATAACCAGGGGGGTGGACATTTGCCTAACCCAGACCTTCCCAGAGGGAAAAAGTGTCCTTTTTCCTACTCTAAAGGAGAAAAAAGTGGATTTTTCCAATTAGCGGGTTAAGAATATTAAAATATATTAATTCCATCTCACAAACATTACTTTGATACTTGAAATTTAAAATGTACAAATCCAGGGATTATTCTGATAGTTTAATTCTATTTGAGGATATATATGGAAGGTTAAAGGGTTAATGCCGCTTCCGATTCTCTGTTCCGTCCATCAAAAAAAAAAGAAACATCCAAAAAACGTCCCATTGAAGATCGATCCAACGTGTTTCCGAGAAGACGCGAACGATTCGAGCAACGCTGCTTCTTTTTTTTCGCCCCCTGCCCCGATGAAGAAACGGCAATAACGTCGTGATCGTGAACGGTAGAATTTTCCATCGGGCCAAGAATGCCCCATCGAAACGCTGGAATTCTTTCCGTACCCCGCGTGAAGGCGAACGGTATACATGTACGTTCGCCATCCCATTCGTCCCACCACCGTGTCCTATCTCCTCTTACCTCTCTTGGCGAGCAAGCCACAGAACAGAGAGGAAAAGAAAGACTGGAGAGGAAAGATGATTTTGCTGTGCT